GAAAGAGAAAGTGACTGACAGAGGGGTCATAAAATACACAGGAACCAAAGCGAATGATTCATACTTGACTCAAGCGATCTGAAGCTTCAGCTCAATAATTTTCTTAATACACTGTATAGCACAACCAACCCAAGGTGAGAATATTTCCTTAAATAGTAGATATAACAAGTTCATAGTCACTGGGTTGCCCCAAACGTAAGTGTTCCTTAGCTTTCCAGCTGTCACACAGACTGTCAACATCTTTCTTCTTGAGTTCAAACTTTCTTTAGCTTATTTGTTTCTGGTTTGCTACACTAGTCCATGCCTTTTTGAGAAGGCACCTGCATGTCTCTGTATTTAAAAAATGACAGCCAAAAAGTAGCCTGAGAGGACCTGGTCCATCCCAGATGGCCACACATTTGACTTTGACCATTAGCAGCAACGACAACTGTGAGAGGAGGGTGTGCATGAGGAAGGTGGTTAGGGCTCTGCAACACAGGGCTCAGCCAGAGCAGGGGATGATCCTCAGACAGCCTGGCCCTGGGTTCACAGTGATTGGCTCACCTCAGCTATTTTCCTGGGAAAGTCAATCTAAATGCCAAGCATGACCCTCTTTCCTCATCCTGAAGTGTAGGCAATCAAGAGAAAGCCTGCTTTGAGGCTTCTACTTCAATGGGCTCCCCTGTCCTACGCCAGGCAAGCTGAAGGAACTGCCACCTTTGCAAAGTAGGTAAGGTGGAGGAAACAGTACTGTGCTGCCCTCCCACCTCTGTAAACCTTGCAGCTCCCACATGTTCTTACAGCCTGGGACTTCAAGTCCCAGGTGGCAGCAGCGAGAAAGTTCGACAGTGGAAAAGGAAGGGGAAAGAAGAGAAAGAGAGGGAGCAGGGGAAGTCTGCATGACTGTTTACAATCTCTGCTGCTGCTGCTCTGTAAAAACCTACAACCAAGAAGAGCCCTTGTCTAGAATGGCCACAGGATCCCAATGCCTGCGGATCTTTACCACCAAATGTCACCTCTGGCTGCCCTGCTGTAGGGAGGGCCCCGCTAGCCTGAGCCACCATCCTGTCCACATTTTCCCTGTCAGGGGTGTCTAATTAATGGCCCAGGAAGGCTGACCTGAGCTGAGGACCCAGTCTCACTCCACAGCTGCCCAGCAGTTGGCAAGCTGCCCCACCTCAGACCTTGCACCCCGTAACAGTGCCTGTTTTGATATACAGAAAAACCATCATCTTCCACATCCTAAGTCTCTTCATGACTATTATCAAAACACTGTAGGATTCTGAATTTTTTTATTCTTCCTGACTCTCAGCCAGTTCTTCAAGGGCTGATCTGGGTTCCGTTAAGAAATTCCCACCCAGTTATCAAATTTCTCCTCTTTCAGTCCTCACTGTGCAGGTTCGCCTGCCTGAAAGGAGAGGTTTGACTCTCCTGAGCATCCGCTCAGTCCTGAGTGACTCAGACCCAGTCACCAGCCCCTTGGTGGCAGAACCCTAATTATTTAGCACCTCCACCATTCCTCAGAGCAGACCAGGAAAACACAGGCAGTTTTGGCTCAGCCTGTCAGGGTCAAGTCAAAAGGCCATCCTGGGTAAGCAAGAGCTCAGAGGTGCCACCCTGTGGCCTTCCCAGTGAAGCCCTGGTAGCTCCCTTCCACACACTCAAGGGGCTCAGATGCAGACTTCCCCCAGACCCACTGGCTGTCAATTTAAGAGCCTAAACAAATCAAACAAGGACTTGCTTTGGAAATTGCAACAGATGTGTGCTTCCTGGAACATGCTGGCTAAGAGGCTTTCTAAATCCTGAGACTCCAGAAATCCCCTCCTCAGGCCATCTGGCTTGCACCATAAAGGGCGGGTAAGAGAGCTAGAGCTCTAGAATACCAGCAACTCAGCAACTGTGAGGTTGTGTGCTTGTGTAGGGAGGCCAGGGAATCTCATCTGGGGAGGGCAGCACTGTATGGCCTGAGGGAGGATGGCAGGGCTGGGAGTCCACAGGGTAAAGGAGAAAACTGTCAAAAGCTAATGGCGGTATAGCAGAGCAGTTAAGTGCTATGCACAGGGAACTGAATTCCACATGGTTGACCACAGTTCAAATCTCAGCCCCAGCAGCTTCAAAAACACACCAGACGCGTGAGTCCCCAAAATCTGATGGGATAAGAGACACAGAGGAAAAAGGACTTAAGTGTGACCATGCCCCACTGAGGGGTGCTTTTTCTCTTTCTCTCTTTGGTGAGTGCACACACCCGCTGGCAATTAGAAAACAAAGTTGTTGGTTTCCTGGGGCCAGGCGGTGGTACAGTGGTAACAGGACTGGATCTGCATCAGAAAGGTCCTGGGCTCAGATCCATGAACACACCAGGTGCACGCACTGCCCACGCTCTGGGCTGGCTCAGAGTGAGGGTAGATCATGGTGTGAAGACTTTGTTGAGGGTGCGGACTCTATCTCACAGAAGAAAGAAAGAAAGAAACAACAACAACAAAAAGTTGTTGGTTTCCAGAGTAGATTGCCACCTTACCCAAATCTATCTCAATTACTATTGTCATCTACTTTTTTCGAGTCCCAGTTGACAAATCTTACCATTCAGACCAGGTTTAAATGCACATCAGGAATGGAATCATAATCCGGAACTCAGAGGAACTGAGCCCTGCCCTAACAGGATCAGCACCTCTTCTCTGGCTTCCATTTCAGACCCTTCTCCACCAGAGGGAAGTGAGGCCTCCTGCAGCAAGCAGCCATCAACTCAGATTTGCTACCCTGGAGAGGAGGATTCTGTATCCCTATGAACCTCAATTATAAACAGGGAAAGATTCTAATCAAATGATGCATGCACGCCTACTAGTAAGTGCAAGAGGGTCAATCTCAAGCAGATTGGCCAGCCAGAAAGACCCAAAATCAGGATGACAAAGAAAAAGTAGAAAGGAAAGTGCCCTGTCTGCCTATCCCATGTAAAAAAGTGGAGCTGGGACTTCTAGCATACAAACATCTGCTTCTGAGGAGGCCTCAACCAAGAGTTAAAGGGACCAGAAGAACCAAGCATTTTATTCTCAAGCAAGTGAGAACTTAAGTGGACAAAACCATCAGCCTGAAGGCCAGTTACTCTCCAAATCTCAGACGAGCATCTCAGGGGGTCTAAAAAATCTTCAGGCCGAGCATGACAAACCAGGCCAATTCGTCCCTCAGAGCATGTCACAAACTCTTCCTGCCCCCAAGACTCATCTGACATTGGAATCACACACAAGCCCCCTCATGGACTCGCTCATGTAACGGAAATGACCCCTGGGGCCTGTAAGACAGCTGCCGCCTCCAAATCCAGCAGGGCTCAGGATCTCAACTGGGGGCGGGAGAGGTGGACAGGCATGGGCAGAGCGTCTTGCTGCGGACCCTGGGGTGAGAGTTCTGCTGTAGCTGTCTATTTGCCTGGCGGCATGCCAGTCTCACATACTGCCGACGATTTGTTCAGAGTCAGAAGCACAGTCTGTGTACCTCTGAAGAAGACTCTTCACCTCCGAGCACTCGATCCAAGTGTGGCCAATGCACTGCAGGTGCAATAAACTCAACAAACAGAAAACCGAAGTTCAGCTAAGATAGCACGCCTGTCTACCATTTAAGACACAAAATGGAACAGCCTGGAGCTTATATTTGGAGGGAAAAACAGACTCGGAAGCTACGTATTAGAAATAAGCTCTAAGCTCAGCTTTCTTGAAACGAGTCCCCTAGAGTCCAGCACCCCAATCCTTCTGTCTACCTCAGTGTTCCCAAAAGCTACCAGTGGGGCTGGACTGAGGTACTTCAGGGTGTGGCTGGAGGCTTCCTATGTTTGTCTGGAGCTCAGAATGCCCTTGAAAAGAGTCAGACTGAGAAAAGGTGTGATGAGTCGGTGGACTGTTCACAGCACCAAGGTGGTTTGGGACTCCTGGTCAGGTGTGTACCACTCAGGCAGTGACTCAGGAAGGCAAAACTGCTCATGGGTCTAGGACCCAGTACCAGCTCCAGGCACTGAGGGCAGAGAGGAAGGTGAAAGAGGGAGAACTAGGAAACAAAGGAAGAAACTAGGAAGAGTAAAATTCTTTCCATAAAAAAATTTGCCTGATAAAAAATATACAAAGTTGAAATTTGTTAAAGACATTGATACTAGAAGGAAAGTCGACTGCAAACTGTATTGGTTGTCACTTAAGTGCTAAGTGGACACGGAGAACAAGGAAGGCTGCCTCGGGCAGCACACGGACACCTGGGGCAGACGAACATAAATGGAGCCAGAGCTTGTACTGCCCATTGACGCGACAGCTGAGAGACGAATACATAGAGCTTTTTAATTGAGGAACCAAGGGAGAAGAGGCAAGGACAGAAAATCTTAAAACTCAGCCCTAGGCTGAGGAGGCGCCATGAAGCACTAAGTCCGGCACACAGAGCCATGGGCTGACTGGCCAGGAACTCCTAGAGCAGCTTCTGGTGACAGTGGGTGCAAAGCAACGAAAGACATACTGGCCACTGGAAACAGGGTTCTTCTTACTTTGGGGGTGGGGCAGAGGCGAGCAACACACGAGCCCCTGCCTCATGGGCACAGCGCCACCAACTCTACACTCTGAGTATCTCCAGGCAGTTGTTGTAGCAGATGGCAATCCAGTCGGGCTGCGTCGATGCCCACTGCACATTGTTGATCTCTCCTTCAGCTGTGTAGGCCAGGATAGGGTCCTCAATAGCCCGGGGCATTTGCTGGATGTCCCAGATTAGAGCCTGATGATCATCCGCTAGGGAAAAAGAAAGCCAGCAAGCAAGGTTACAACTCACGGGATGGACATAATGATCCCTGCGTTTGGGGAGACAGAGACAGTTTCTAAGGCATTTGCTCACCAGAACCCCTTAGAGGGAGGTTTTATTTTAAGCCTCCTCTTTATATATGACAAAACAGAGATTCAGAAAAGTTACAGCATTGGGACCAGCAGGTGGCATGGTGGTTAAGGGCGCTGAATTCCCACATGGCCAACTGCGGTTTGAGTCCTGGACCTGATGGCTTGCTTTTTTACTGCCCCCCCGACCCCGTTCTGTCACCCTCTGGTCAAATTGAAACAAACAAGTAAGTAAATAAATTGAATAAAATAATTTAAAAAAAAAGAAAAGAAAAGAAAGAAAGTCAGTCTTCAATACATGGGGAATCTGAATCAACGAAATCCTAACAGGCCTGGCTGGTCTCCTAACAAGAACACATAATCTGGGCAAGCTGCAAGGTCCCTTCCCAGGGACAGTCTACACGAAGAGATATGGAGCACTGCTGCAAGCACTCAGCACCTCTCCGGCATGATGCTCCCACCCCTAGGGTCCAATCAGGCACACATCGGCCATGGCTCCTTCAAGTGAAAGGACTCAAGACAGGTGCAACTCACAAGATGACAGTGAGCCAGGCAAGGCAGCCAGCCAGGAGCAGAAGATAGGGCTTTCACTGGGCCAGCCCTGCTCTCCATGCACAGTGGATGGTAGCTTTCTTTCTCCCTTTTCCCAACCCTCTCTGCCCCACCCTGCACTGGGCAAAAAGAGGGTGACAAGGAAGAAGGCAGAACACTGAGGTAAAGAGGAAGCAGTGGGCCCCTAACTGCTTAAACAAGACACAAAGTGCATGAGCAGAGACCCCAAAATAGGAAAGCCTTCATGAATGAATTAAAGTGGTGGAAACCCACAAACTACATTGCTGCTTTGGCTCCCTAGCAAACAAGGTTCCTTATAAGGTTACTGATTAGTGAGGAGAGGAAAAAGTATGTTAGCAGGAAACTTGAAGTGCTGAAAAAGGGAAGTAGCAGAAGACTAGGGGCTAGAGTAGAATCCTGTCCCGGCAGAACAGGGCACCTATTCATCTCAGGGGGTGTATCTACGTGTGTATACCAAATGGGTCTAGAAAGAGACAAGCTGGTGTTAGAGGCCACCTAAGAGGAGCGGGATAGGAGTGGAAACAATATAGGAGGGGGAAAGATGACTTTCACCCTTCTGTTTAATATTCCTCTGTTCTGGGACCAGCAGGTGGCATGGTGGTTAAGGCATTGGACACTCCCACATGGCCGACCATGGTTCGAGTCCTGGACCTGGTGGCTTGCTTTCTTACTCTCTCTCTCTCGCTCTCTGTGATCAAATTAAAATAAATGAATGAATAAATAAAATTAAACAAATAATTAAAAATATTTATATATACCTCTGTTCTATTTGCATTTTGAATAATATACTTTAAGTATAGTAACAACCACATTTTTAAAAATAATTTTTAAAAAATTTAACATTATTTATTTATTTATTTTAGTTTGACCAGAGAGAAGGAACAGAGAGAGAGAGAAAGTGAGAAAGTGAGAAAGCAAGCTGCCAGGTCCGGGACTTGAACCACAGTTGGCCATGTGGTAATCCAGCACCCTTAATCACCACACCACCTGCTGGCCCCACAATCACATATTTTTAAAGGGCACTCTTTTTGGTGTGGCAAATGATAAAATGAGAACTACAGTCACGCACCATTGACCAGACAAGATTATGTGGGACCCTTCAGTGAACTTGGAGCTCAGTGCAAACTGGTTACAATGCAGCCCGAGGTCCCAGGGATCTGTCCGGATTGGCAGTCCCAAAGGGTCTCCTACGTCCAAGAGGGATACCTCCCCTTCCCCATGTTCTGAATGTCCTGTGCCAACCTAGATTTCAGGGGGACAGTACAGGGCACAGGCCTGTAACTGGTATGTGATATAAGTAGTAGATGTAAGGGGCAGCAGGTGGTGTAATGGTTATGTCACTGGACTTCCACATAGGTTCAAGTGGACCACGGTTCAAGTCCTGGACCTGGTGCTTAAAACGCATGCTGGGTGCATGAGTGTGTGCAAGTGTCCCAAATCCCGAAAGGAGAATGAGGGGGAAGGGGAAGGGACTGCAGCATGGCTATAACCCTGGGGGCGCTTTCTATTTCTCTGTCTCCTTGGTGAGCACACATGCCCTATAGCAAAAATCTCTCTAAATTTTTAATGGAAGATATCAGAATATCCAATGAGGGTGTAAGATTATCTGGAAAGGTGGACAGCTTTAATTTCACAAGTGAGGGAAGGTCCAACTAAGTTGTATTAATCTCTCAAAACTGTCCTTGGAAAATGGTAAGGATTACAATTCTAAGGCGCCAAGGGTAAAAGATTTCCTTACCCTCCTCCTCCCCCATTACTTTCCACCCCACCATGGTTACCTGCAGTGCAGATGTGGCAGGATGAATGTGGAGCCCAAGCAATGCCATTGACACATGCTCGATGGTTGTTTAACCTGGCGACAGGTGTGCAGGGGACTCGGACATCCAGAATCACCACCTGTAGAAATGGAAAGTCAAAGGCCCAGAACATCAGGATTTGACACACACACACACAAAAACACAACACAGTACATCTGAAAAAAAATTTTAAAAATATATGTATTTTTTTCATTTGCCAGAGAGCAAATGTGTTTTTCAGAGACAGTGAAGGAGGAGAAAGCCCAATGGGGCATGCTCATGCCATGATCCTCCTCCTCCTCCATTTCTCCATCCTGCAGAGATCTGGAGAAAATACGCACCTGTGCCTGGCACGTTTCTCAGGCCATTGGGCCAGGACTCAAACTGCACAGTTGGCTATGTGGAATTCGGCTCCCTCAACCACAGGGCCAGCCCACGAAAATGTTTTAAGCACAACTCTCTCATTTCTGAATTTAAACAGGATTTCTTTAGGGTTGAGGAAAAAGAAAATAAAGGATATAGGTAGTTTATTGTCTGTATCTTGAACCACACCAGTCTTTAGAGTGACAGGGAAGGGGTGAAGCAGGAATAGACAGTGTGAGTAATCCACCCAGGCCGGGCAGGCACATGTGAAAAGATTCTATGCATCTCAGCTAGACAGAATGAGAGCCCCATCAAAGCAGAATCTATTAGGTTGTCAGGAAAGTCATGACTTATTTTTCTGTTTTTCTATGCAAAAATGTGTCATGACTTTTCCAGATACCCAACAGCTTCCAAACCAAGGTTAACCGTGGCATCATCTCATCTCCACCCAAATTCACCACTTTCATCAAGGAACACAAAATAGAGAGAGCTGCTGTTTCTGTGTTTGCTAAAGCTGGAGCAGTCTATTTAGACTACAGAAAGGCAAACTGCCTTAACATCCCAAGCACTTGGGATCTGGTTTACTCCTTCAATACTCCTTTCTTGGCTTCATTCCAACTCACCAAGTGTTAAAAATTCTTAACACACAGTCTGTGTTCTAGATCAATCTTGGCACCACTGACATTTGGGGCAGCATAATGCTTTTTCAGGGGCTGTCCTGTGCACAGCAGCATGTTTAGCAGCATCCTTGGCTTCTACCTAATAGATGCTAGTACCACTACTACTCTCTTCTCTCTGAGTCGAGATAACCAAGAATGTCTCCAGGCATTTACAAAAATCCCCTGAGGCTACACTACCACCAGCTAAGTACTCTTCCAGACGTACTAGGTCATGGTAGTTAGGTGGCAGGACCTATGTTCACCTGGGCAGGCTGCTCACCTCCATGCCATCCATGGCCATGGTTGCCAAGTAGTTAGGGTCCTGCTTGTTCCAGCAAAGGCGCAGAAGTGGGTGATGCTGTGGGTCTTCGTAAATGATGGTGCTGTGTTCTAGATGGCGGAGGTCAAACATCCGCACCGAGCCATCAGCGCCCACAGAGGCAAACATGTCCCTGCCACCCCCGGCTCGACTAAATGCAATATCATAGACCTGAGGTGAGAAAGAAGCTTTATCAGATTCAGACCTGTTACCCTCTTTTCCTATAGCAGGGAAATCTGCCACCTCCTGGTCATCTAACCCCGGATCATGATGACACAGAAGCGGAAATTGGGGCCCAGTCAGTGTCTGCAAGTCCTGGATCCCAACAGCCAACGGCTTCCCAAAGAGTGAAGGTCACTGTGCTAGAATAGAAATCGGCTGCCCTCTTCCCATATTCCTGCTTTCTAAGCCTTCTTCCTTCAACTCCTGTGATAAAATAAAAGGCACATAACCTATTGACCCGCAGAGCACAAATAACCTTGAGTGAGCATTCTGGATGCTTCAACTCAGTGGAAGCCAGAGCCAGTGACCATCTTCTGTCACACTGCAGGACAGACATTTATGTCCTGGGCCTTGGTGGCTTGCACTGTGTGCCACAGGAAGCTCAAGAGCAGCAATGTGAGAGGTGGGAGCAGCCTTCCCGTGGCCACTTAACTGCTGTGAAACTCAGACTCATTCGCAAGAAAGGGGCAACAGCAACTTTGAATCATGGGAGGCGCAGGTCATCTCTATTGTAACAAATAGGTTTAATAACAATCTCTTATCCTAGGGCATGTTTTATTTCTTCTACATGGTCTGTAATCAAAAGTGAGTCAATTTAGGTTTTTTTTCTTTCTTTCCTTTTTTTCTTTCTTTCTTTCTTTTTTTTTTTTTTTTGCTATAGGGTATGTGTGCTCACTGGAGAAACAGAGACAGAAAGCAAGAAATAATTCCCCAAGGGAAATGGCCACGTTGCAATCCCTTTTCTTCTGATCCCCCCTTGAGATTTTGGGCATGCATGCACATGCAACCCAGTGTGAGTTTTAATCTACCAGGTCTGGATTTGAACTGTGGTCACCCATGTAGGAGTCCAGCAACACAACCATTACACCATCTGCTGGTTCCTCAATTTAAGTTTTGAATAATTGTTTTTTGCATTTACTATTTGCTATGAATGCTGTATATTACTAAAATCTGTGAGAAAACAGGTGGCTTGCAATGGAGAACTTCAGAGAAAGGAAGGGACTAAGACAAAGCTAGAGCTCAACAAGTGGAGAGCCTTGCAGAAGAAATCAAATGCCCCACAAACCAATGTGGGGTTGAGGGTGATAATGGCAGCTGACTTCTAGGGAGACATGCATGGAATTTCTCACTAAATACTGCAACTCCAGCCTTCTTGAGGATCTGACTAGTGAGGGATACTGCCAAAGCAGCATCTCTCTGTTTAGCCTCATACATTCCTTTTCCTCTGGCTATGAAGAAATTATGCTTCTTTTTGTACAGCAGGAAAGGAGTGGTTCAAAATGGTTAGTCATCAGCAAGGAGGCTCCTGGACCTGATGAGCTGGTCAGTTCAAGGCTTGTCTAGCACTGTCCAGCTACTTCACTGTGGAGGCATATTTCCTGATTCATGCACCCCACTGCAATGGCACACAGTAACCATGAGGGACAGAGACGCCAGAGTGGTGTCACTAAGCATGAACGTGCCCATGGGCAGTGTGGCCAAGTGTCTAAAGCTCTCTGAGCTTCAAGTGATCGCTCCTTCCTCTGTGCTCCACAGTGTGGTTCATCAGAAAGGAAGGAGGGTAACAGCCTGCAGAAGGGCTAACCTCTCCTCGACACCATCGGCCAGAAGAGCTTCCCAAGCCAGTCTTACTGTGACAGAGAGAGTTGAACTGAGAAGAATCAAATGACTGCGGCAAAGATCCACTTCTGGCCCTTCCCACTCTTCTCTGCATCATTAGAAAACTGATTCCTACAGGCTGTATTAGGCAGCATCCCAGGTCTGCTGGCTGCTTCTGGCTGGTGTAGCCATGGGAGGCCCTGGTGGGAAACTGGATGGTGGCAGGCAGGGGAAAGCTAAGGTATTTCTTCTCCTACTCTCTGTTCCCAGCACACTTCTGCCAGGTAAACCCAGGCTGGGCTCCATGACCCTGGCTCACCCAGCCTACAGGGAGTAGCAACTTCCTGCTGCTCCTATGTTCTAGATTCCCTCACTCGTTGCCTATGGAGCTTCTCAGCTCTATCATCACGTGATAAGCAATCCCCTGGATTAAATTTCCTCAGTTTAAATACGGGGAGTAGCTCCATTTCCGGGGTTTGACCTAACAGGATGGCAGGCTAAGCTGTCACATAACTAAAAAAGAGCAACCTATTCCACCTGTCCCTTTACTGGTTCTTTACTGGTCCCTTCTGCAGGACACACTCTTTACCTGATCCTTGGTTTGGCAGCAGCCAAGTCCAGCAGTCTTGCAAGTGCAGCAAGCCAAAGCACACTCTTACTGAGAAGGACAACCTGGCCACCACCTTCCTACTCTGTTGCCAGCCTCAAGTTTCTGACTGAAGGCCAAGGCATTCTTTTAATATGTACAGTTTTTGTTTTGTTTTGTTTTTAAGAGCTTTTTAGGGGCCAGCAGGTGGCATGGTGATTGGGGGCACTGGACTCTCACATGGCTGGCTACAGTTTAAGTCCTAGACCTGGTGGCTTGCTTTCCCATTTTCTCTCTCTCTCTGTGTCTCACTCTGGCCAAATTAAAAAATAATAACAACAACAATGATAAAGCAAATAATTCTTAAAAAAAAGGGAGGGGAGATTTTCAGTATAGTGCATGTGCACTTGACAGAGAGACAGAAAATGAGAAAGCACCCCTGAGGGGAGATGGCCATGCCACAATCCCTTCTCCTTCATTCTCCTCTCAAGATTTTGGGCAGCATGCATATGCTCCCGGCATGAGTTTCAAGCCACCAGGTCCAGGACTCAAAGTGCAGTAGGCCATGTCGGAGTCCAGCAATGTACCATTACGCCATCTGCTGGTCCCTTATCCGTACAGATTTTAATACCCCTAACTGTACAGGGTCAGAAAGAAATAAAACAATAACTTTGGGAAATCAGAGTACCAGGAGCATGCAATGGGCTCTATGAGAAAAAGATTTATGACCATTTCCCAAAATCACCTGAGAGAATACTTTAACTTAAAGCATGATCATAAATAGTTCCCCTCACTTTTGCCAGTAAATTCAGAAAACATCACCACCAAAGTGGAATACATTCAAGTGCAAATAATCAGAGTATAAAGACTAAACGAACACACTAGAACCTCATAGAACATTTTTAGAGAAAAATTAATAATTAAGTTTGTCTGTCAGAAGTTTTCTTCCCTTCCAAACAGCTAACATATTTTAAAGTAAGTGTTACTCTAAGATCAATTTTACTTAAAAAAAAAATTTTTTTTGGGGGGGGAAGAGGTTTTTCACCATAGGGTGCGTGCACTCACCAGCCAGACAGAGAGAGAAATAGAGACAGAAAGCGAGAAATCACCCCCCAGGAGGGATGGTCACACCACAATCCCTTCTCCTCCACTCTCCTCTCGGGATCTTGAGCACGCACGTACACGCGCCCGGCGTGAGTTTTGAGCCACTGGGTCCGGGACTCGAACCGCAGTCGACTACGTGGGAGTCCAGTGACATAGCCACTACGCCAACTACTGGTTCCCCCCCAATTTTTTTTTTCTATAGGGCACATGCACGCACCACAGAGAGGAAAAAGCATCACCCCCTGGGGGGATGGCCATACCACACTCCTCCACACTCCTCTCAGGATTTTAGACATGCACACACATGCATCCAGTGTGATTTTCAAGCAGCCTGATCTGGGACTTGAACCAAAAAGTTGGCCATGTCAGATCCAGCAGCTTAATCTCCATACTACCTGCTAGCCCTAAGATTAGTTTCTAATCACCTCAGTTTTCAGTTTGTTTATAAGAGATTTCATTATTAAAAAGCAACAACTTTTGGCATGGAAATAAAAACAATAGACCATGGAATAAGCCATTTATGTTAGTCAAAAAGTGCACTAGTTTACAAGTGTTGTTTTCTGCTATTTTGACATATTATTGTTCTCGATTTCAACAAGATGTCAGCACTGTATTATAGTTTTCCTTTTAACCTGCAGAAGAGTGAAAGAACAGTCTGCCCTTTCCCACTGAAGGCACAGAGCATCTCAGCAAAGAAGACAGGAAGTGCAGCATTACCTCTTTGTCATGGGCAATCAGCTGGGTCTTCACATGGCCAGACACGAGGTTCACTCGGCCCAACACCTGCCCCGTCTCCAGCCCCCAGATGGTACAGGTTGTATCAATGCTTGAAGTACCTGCAAACACCCAGGGCAAGTCAGTGCTGTGGGAGCCAGGTGCCCGAGCACATGCCCTCCAGTGCCTGTGCGTCTGCTCAGCCTGGGGATAGCACACCACAAACACTTCCCGAGCACAGGAAGGGTACCAAGAGGGCCACATGCATCATGTATTCCATCCTTACCTCTGGGTCTCAGATTTTAACTGGAAAGAAAAATATACATACATGGAAAGCTCAATTCCACACAAGGAATTAATATTCAGGTTTCATGTAGAGTTTATTTCCACGTGGCTATGTCTGGGATGATGCATGTACCTCAGGCCTCTGGTTAAAAATTGGCCCAGAGTTCTATCTGAGACAATGTACCTTTGCTTCTTCAGACTGGGATATACATTTACTAACTTCCTTACCTAAGAGATAGGGATCCACCTCATTCCAGTCAAAGGAGGTCAGGGGGGCACAGAAATCAGAGTTCTTGTTATTGTTCAGCAAACATTCCAGCCTGGTCTCTGTTTCACCAACCTGAAGGAACAATCATTTTTAACCATCAGCCAGTCTTACCTTAGAGAAGTCTTAAAAAGCCCTGTTTAGGGACCAGCATTTGGCGTAATGGCTATATTGCTGGACTCCCATGTAATCGACTGTGGTTCAAGTCCCGGACCTGGTGGCTTAAACTCACGTCAGGCATGTGTACATGTGTGCCCAAGATCCCCAGAGGAGAATGGAGGAGAAGGGATTGTGGTGTGGCCATCCCCCCTGGGGGGTGATTTCTCGCTTTTTGTCTCTTTCTGTCTGCCTGGCGAGCGGATGCACCCTATAGCAAAAACCTCCAATCAATCAATCAATCAATCAATCAATAAGCCCTGTTTAGACAATATCTTCATAAATATAAGACATAAGAGGAACAGTTTTATTAAAAATAATAGGACTCAGGAACTCACCAAATGCTACCTCTTTCCAAACCTTCTCCTCTGCCCAGCTTTTCTTGCCGAGTTCTCGTTCCCACATCTTTCTACAGTAGAGGGCATCACACTGTGCCCAAACCCCAATCTCTGCACCTTACCCAGCTGGGCGCCATTCCCCAGGCTACAGGGGAAGCTAAGAGGGCAGGGAGGAGGCCAAGATCCACTCCCAAAATTATTATAATCAGTGGCCCAGTATTTTGTTTGACTTACTTAAAAATACTTTGGCTGTAAACAGAGTAAGTGGTCCTAAGAGTGTCTCTACCCTCAATGACAGCTGTCATCACCCCATCAGGATAGTCAGATGTTGGATTTCCAGGGTGGCTAAAACTTCTAGGCTAGATTTGTTTTTTAAAAACTCTGCTGAGCTAACCAGGTCCATCCAGAGATGCTTCACTTATTTCTCCAATGCTGCAATGACACTGCCACTCTAAACCCATCCGTCCCCTGTGCCTTCATGCTTCTGACACCAACACAGAGAAAAGCCATTTGTCTGGCTGCTAATTCAGCACCTGCTTACCCTCCACACGCGGAGATAGTCGCCACTGGTTGCCAGTAGGTCAGGATAGACGCCTTTTGTGTCAGGGATCCACATGAGCTTTGTGGTGGGGTACGGATGGTCGAAGGTGTTTCGGCAAATAAACTCGGAACTCTCCTCATCTAAACCAACAAGTTGAACCTGTAACACATCAAGGTTGAGCCACATAAGGATTTATTTCTCTCGTGCAGTATCTAATACATCAGATTCCCTGATCAGGAACAGAAGTCTTGACAAGGTACTACCCTCAACTGAAGAGGCAAAAACGATTATAGCAAGATGGCATCTAGTCTTGCCATCCCACTGGCACGCACACTCAGAGGTGTCAGTTATAGTCAACGCTGCTAAGCTAGTAAGGGACAGAGACAAGACTTGAACACAGGTCTTCTGTCTCTATGTCCTGCATTCTTTACCCAAAACCATGTAACTGTATCATGTGCCCAACCAGTCATACCTTTCCCCACAGCCTCTATGGCATTTGATAATGTGTAGAGGTGGTTTGGTAGCCACAACGGCTGGAAATGCTGTGGGTATTTGGTGCTCAGAAGCCAGGAATACCAAACACCCTGTGTGGTCCCATACAACAAAGTCAAGTCCCACCTAAAAAGCCAAGTGTCCAATCCTCATCATTCTCTCCAACTTCAACACTGGCAAGTTATGTGCATATACACTACATCTCAAATGAGGATTCAAAAGCCCAAACCATGGGGACCAGCAGTTAGCGTAATGGATATGTCGCTGGACTCCCATGTAGTCGACTGCAGTTCGAGTCCCGGACCTGGTGGCTTAAACTCACGCCGGGCGCGTGTGCGTGCATGCCCAAGATCTTGAGAGAATGGAGAATGGACTGCGGCATGGTCACCCCCCCATGGGGGGTGATTTCTCGCTTTCTATCTCTCTGTCTCTCTTTCTGGTGAGCACACGCGCCCAATAAGAAAAACCTCTCCCCACCCCCACCCCCCCAAAAAAAACCAAACCATGGTGACTGGCAAAAATGTATGCACCACTGGTTGAGAAAGTCCTAGCTGGTTCTGCCCATTTTTTCTTCAGAGTCTATTTTAGGGGCCAACAGGTGACATGGTGGTTAAGGCACTGGATTCTCACATGGCTGAACACAGTTTGAGTATCAGACATGGTGGTCTGAAAATCATAACAAATAGATAGATAATAAAGAAATGCTTTATTAAAAAGTCTACTTAGGGACCAGCAGTTAGCATAATAGCTATGTCACTGGACTCCCACGTAATCAACCACAGTTCGAGTCCCGGATCCTGTGGCTTAAAACTCACGCCGGGCACGTGTGCGTGTGTGTCCAAGATCCTGAGAGGAGAATGGAGAAGGGATTGAGGCATGGCCATCCCCCTGGGGTGTGATTTCCCGCTGTCTCTCTGTCTCTCTGTCTGTCTGGCGAGCGCACATGCCCTATAGCAAAAACCTCTCTCCCCTAAAAAAAAAGTCTATTTAGACCACTATTAACATCCATCCTTTGCTGTCAAACTCAATCTGGTTCAGTGGGAACTGACTTTTACTGGACATTTGTTTATGAACTTCCAACTAGCAGACAGAATGGTGGGAACTTCTGGTAAAGATCCATAATGAGAAGAAAAACACTAACCATACAGAAAAAAACAAAAACAAAAACAAAAAAAAACAAAAAAAAAACCAAACAGATGTCCTTCTACTCGTCTTTCTGATCTAACTCAGTCTTAGACACCTTTTCTTCCTTTTTGTTCTTCCAACTGAATTTAGGTATCATTGCATACAGTAAAACTCACTCAAGTATACAGTTCAATGAGCTTTTGGCAAAAACACCCATTAATTAAACCAAAGAACATTTCTATTGACCCAGAAAGTTCTTTCAGGGTCTCCTGCAGTCAAACCCCTACCCGAGCCCAAGCAAACCACTGGTCTATGATTTTCCCCTTTTCTATAATATTATATAAATGGAATAATATATTCCATTCCATTGATTCTTTCAGGTCTGGCTACTTTCACTCAGCATGATGCACTTAAAATTCATTCATGTTCTGTGTATATCAGTAGTTTCTTTTTTATTATAATGCTGATTTATGCAATATTGAGTAATATTGTATTATATGAACACTGTAATTTATCCATTTAACAGTTAATAAACTTTTGGATTATTTCTAGTTTGGGGCTGTTATAAACACTGCTGCTATGACATTTGTGTACAAGTCTTTTTGAGGACATGCTTTCATTTTTCTTGAGTTAGACAACTTTTTTTTTTTTAATTCAATTCCTATTTATTTTTGGCTCATGGGGCAATGTCATCTTTTCAATATGAAAAAAAAAAAGCAGCAAGTTCAATACAAAAAAGAAATCTGAAGAGTACGAGAAACCCAGAGGCAGGAGAAAACGGCAATAGTAAAAGGAAGAGGATGTTGCAAAGAAGAGGGTGTCCTGTCCCTTCTCCTCTGGGCAATGACTTACCCATTTCAGTGGCCGTATGTGCCTTTCCACTAAGTTAGGTTATTCATTTCTGGGAGCAAGAAAAGGTAGGTGTGGGGAGGGTATTTCAGGAGGCATAGAGACTAAGGCTGGCCTCTCTCTTTCCTATCTTGATCTCCTTCTCTGATCGGGGGAAAAGGAAGGAATCCAATCAATGTGTGGGAGATAAACTGGGAGAGGGGAGAATCCCACTTGATAGGATACACAGATCCTTCCAAAGTAAACAGAACTCAGGATAGAGCTTGGAAGGAGACTGAAAATGGAGTTAATATGTTAATTCCTCCCGTGAAGCTGAGAGATGGAGTAGCAAGTATCTGGAAATTATGACTTTAGATGTTTGTATCCCTAAGCCTGTCCCAGAGTGGAAAAGCCTGTGCCATTGGCTTATAGTGACTTCTCTTCCTCTTGGCTACTACTTGGGGTTTAGAATGTTGGCCATTATCTGAGTTTTCAGCACCCAGTTGGTTCTAAGTGCGATCTGGATGAGACTCAGCATATTGGAGAATTATTCTGAAAACACAGAGAAATATTATTGGGTTGTTGGAAAAGTCATGATGCATCTGGCACAGAAAAACATCATAACATGTCCCAACAACCTAATAACTGGACGAATAGGAGTGGCACCAGAAGGATAAGGTTACCTGGATGGCATAAGTCTTTCCAGGAGTACAAAGACAGAGGGGAGGTTTAAATTTACTGAGTGCCTACTATGTGCCAGCACTGTTCTAGACATCACACACACACTCACATACACACACACACACAAACACAAAAGACAAAAGAAGGAAAAAAAAAAAAAGATTAAGGCAGCAAACACAAATCCCTAGGGAAAGGAAAAGGGCAGCTGAGGAAGAGGGTTGAGGGAACTGAGAAGCCTGAAGCAAAGGGAGGCTCTGCCTTAGGCCTCCTCTTCAGCCTCATCATGGAATTCTCCTACTGCATGGCGGCATCCTGGTACTGCTGATAGTCAGAGCCGAAGCTGTGTGTGTTTCTCTCAGCCTTGGTGAACTCAATCTCATCCATGCTTTCACTTTATCAGTAGAGGAAGGTCTTGCACCTCACGTGGTAAGGAACTGCTCTGAGATGCACTTGAAGAGCTCCTGGATGGCTATGCTTTTGCCTATAAAGGTGACTGCCATCTTGAGATCATGGAGTGAGATTTCACAGACAGCAATGTTGACATTGCTGGGGGTCCACTCCATGAAGTAGCTACTATTCTTGTTTCACATGATGAGCATCTGCTCATCTACCTCCTCAATGGACATCTGTCCATGGAAGACAGCAGACACAGTGAGGTCATGGCCATGGTGGACGTCACACCCAACCATCATGCTCCTGGCACTGATGACCTGCTGGGTGAGTTCAGGCATAGGGAGGGTCCAATATGGCTGGCTTCCACAGATGATGAGAGGTGCATAAAGGTCACCCAGCCAGTTTGTGAAAGTGAACACTGAGGTGGCCTGGAAAGCTGCAGGTAGTGACCCTGCACATGGTGGCTGAGACAAGGCAGGTCAGATCACTGTAGGTTGGAAATAGTTGGCTTGCAGGTGTAGAAGCAAATGTCATAGGGCTTTGCAGTCAATGCAACAGGTATCATTGGTGTTCTCTGTCAAATGATGGACTAAGAAGGTGATGTGGCAGGGCTCGAATACAGTGTTGGGACACTTTGGTGAGAGTACCAAACCGATGGTGTTCATGATGCAGTCAGGATACTCTTCTCGGATCTTGCTGAAGAGGAAGATACCCATTTCAGAGCCTGAGCCCCCACACAGTGAGTGGGTCACTTGGAAGCTCTGCAGGCAGTCACAGCTCTTAGCCTCCATAGCCCCACATTCAGGGCTGAGTCGACTAACTTGGCCCCCTGTTGTAGTGGCCCATGGCCCAGTTGTGGCCTGTCTCAGAATACCAAAACAAAGCTGTCTGAAGATCTGGCCAAAGGGACCTAAGCAAACACAGTGCATAGTCCCAGGTTCTAGATCCACCAAGATGGCACAAGGAACGTATCTACCACTTGCAGCTTCGCTGTAGGACACAGAAACATGGCCCAGCTGCACATTGTTGTCCCTGTGTTAAGTATGGTGGGGTCAATGGCATGTTCATAACCCATCAGCTCCCCAAACTTAGTACTGATCTGGCTGCCACAATGACTGGCCGGTAAGTGCACAATTTTCCTTGTGTTTTATTATTTTTTTCCTTCCCTTAAGGTATTTACGAGGCAAGAAAGCTTTTTTTCCTCTGCTGAAAGGACAGAATGTGCCCCAGAGGCTAGTCCAGCAAGATCTAGAAAGGAATGTCCGGCAGCAAGGTTGGATAGACAACTTTTTTTTTTTTTTGAGAGGTTTTTTTTGCTCTATGGTATGTTTGCTCACCAGAGAGACAGAAAACAAGAAACCACACCCCCCAGAGAGACAGAAAACAAGAAACCACCCCCCCCAGGGGATGGCCACACCGCAATCTCTTCTCCATTCTCTCAGGATTTTGGACACACATGCACACATGCCTGGCATTTTAAGCCACAGGTATGGGACTGGAACCTCAGTCAATTACATGAGTCCAGTGACATAACCATTACACCACCTGCTGGTCCCAGACTTTTTATTTTAAATAATTATTTATTTATTGTTATTATTTTTTAATTTCACCAGAGAGAGAGAGAGAGACAGGGATAGAAC